CCCCTGGGGTTCCCCTGGAAAAAGGTCCGCATAAACAGGAAAGACGGTGCCTTTGACAGAAACCAGCGAACCAAGGACAGTGAACGATGACGACGGAAAATAACTATGTGGCGCTCTCATGACGCCAATCGATCAATAAAGACCCCAGCCTGCACGTTCCACCCCAGAGGGGCCAAGCCCATTGCTCATCTCTGTACAGTGTGTCAGGGCACTCGTCCCCCAGCTCCGGGCTGATGCACTCACTGTTCTGCCTCAGCCCGTCTGCACCCAGGCGAAAAATAAACGTGGCTGCTTGTAACCCACCTGGCCTCGTGACTTGAGTCTCTTCTCGAGAGACCTGACATATAAGACGGAGTCTTGCCGTTCTTGCCTCTAAGGTAAGGTGACCAGACGTCCCGATTTTTGGAAAGAATGCATGGCAAGCTAGGGAACGGCCTATTTGGTCCATATAGACCAAAATTTTAATCAAGGCCCCCCCGCCCCACCTCCGTCAATGGCGTCCCGCTTTAAATCTGGTCACCTTAAACTAAGAAGCACTCGAGCCCTGGTCCTTTTTTAGCAGTCCATGGTGCTTCCCAAGGGCCTCATAGGCACGGGAAAACCGGACAGGAAAGGGAGTCCGGAGAATTCCTTTGACATACGCTATTGACAAAGAACATTGAAAGTGCCATGGACGACCAGAAGAATGAGCAAATCCCTCTGGGAAGAAGTACAGCCAGGATTAAGTGTCTGGGAAAGGTCGTCCGACTCCGTAGAGGCTCAGCCCCCCAAAAAAAACAAAAGGAAGAGGACGACTCAATAAATTGACACAGCGTGGCTGCCACAATGAGCTCAAACAAAACCACAATTGTGAGGAGGTCACAGGAAAAAGGGGCGGGAGGGGTGGTGCTGGTGCTGGTGCTGGTGGCGGAGGTGTGTGTGTATAGGTTTGATCTGAGCAAGAGGTCGTGCGCAACGTGTGCGCGTGCGTGCGTGCGCGCGTGCGCGCGTGTGCGATCTGGGCACCAGGTCCCGCCCCGCGTGAGCCCCGGATGAGGAAGCGGCGCGGTCACCGAGACGAAGCGGAGGCCTAGCCAGAGAGGCTCGTGGTGGGTGGGAGGGAAGGGGGCCGGGCCTCGGGGCGGAGCCTCCGGAGCGGCGCGGTTCTCAGGTGAGCCTTCAGTGGCCGGGGCCGGCTGGCCAGCGCTTTGGGCAGCGGGACAGAGCCACGCGGGACTTGGGGGTGTGGGCCGGGCGCCCCGAGGAGGCGCCCGGGACCCGGCGACTGTCTGGCTCGCGAGGACCTGGAACTGCGGGTGAGTGGAGCTGCCCACTCGGGGAGTGTCTCCCGGGCCGGGCGGGAGGGGCCGAGGCCGGGGTTTGAGCCAGTCCCTCTCTGCGCCTCGGCGACCTCGGCTCTGAAATCGGGGTGGGGGGAGGGCGGGGGAGGGTCCGCGTCGAGAGCGGACAAATGGAGGTTTGGAGAACGCAGCCCTGCCTACCTCCTGGTCCAGGACGGTGCCGGCCAAACGTGGACAGTGGACGTGCCTCCTAGTCTCTGCGTGACCTTGGGCAAGTCCCTGGCCCTTGTGGCTCACACTTGCCCCATCCACAGAATGCGTGGAATAGCCTCTTTTACATTCGTAATTACGGTTCCCTATCGTAGGTTTACGTGGCCCCCCCTTACTGCAGGTCTTCCCTGGGGGGTGGGGGGGTGTTAAGGAATGGAGGTGGGACTACACACTGGCACGAATCAATCGCCTTTACTCCCCAGACCCAGGCTGCCGTTTGTTCTCCGCCCCTCCTCCTAAATGAAGGTGTGCTTTTTATCCAAGGGTTGGTACCCGCCCCCCCCACCCCCCCCGCCGTGATCAGGGCCTCAAATCAGAGCAGTTGCAAGGAAGTCTGAATTCCAGCCTTTTGGGTTTGTGTATCCATGCTAGGGAGGGAAGATGACTTCTGTCTCCCTGGATTGGAAGAGCTGAAGACCAGGACGCTCCAGAATGAGAACAGCAAAGGTCTACAAACTCGTCATCCACAAGAAGGGCTTTGGGGGCAGTGGTCAGTATCCAGTCATCTTTGAAGGTTGTGTAAACTGGCTGGGGTTCGGGTGTTCTCAGTGTCTTGAAAACTACTCGCTGTCCCCACCCCTGTGAGTGACAATGGAGGCAGCCCTTTTACTGAGGGAAACAGCCAACCTGCTATATTGGGAGAATAGTCGGACTAGAGAATACAGGCCCTTCTAAAAACATTCACATTTCCGTCTTTGTTGGAGCGCTCCATGTTTCCAGGTTACCACCATTCACTTTTTAAATTCTTTGTTACTATATACTCACTGCACATGTTATGTGAATGTTCAGCCCACCCACGGTTTGGAAGGTAAGAGAAAGTAAAATGGCATTTACATTTTCACACTTAGAGAGAATTGGTGTAGGGGCACATAAGATGGGCCAGATTACAGTATGGGTCTCTTCTTGGCCCCCAGGCAGGATAGGAAGGGGCAGATGCAACACGTTGTCTTGCACGAATCTTTGAGTTGGGAAACCAGGACTCAAGCACCAGTTCTACTTCTACCTTCCCTGACATTTATTGACCTTAGTTGTAGATTTATAGCTGAAAATTCAGTTCTTTGTTACTCTTAGCAGTGGGAAAGGGGCTTTGTACAAAACCCAAACCAAATCCATTACCACCAAATCATTTGGGCTGGCATCTGCATTGTTGGCCGATCAAAGTCACCACCATTAGCTCTGAGGGAGAAAGACGGGGTTTCTATTTCTGTAAATAGTTACAGTCTTGGAAACCTACAGGAGGCCACCCCGAGTCAGCATTGACTCCATGGCATTGAGTTTGTTTGTTTGTTTTTTAATCTTCATGGAAGCAGACTGGTACACATCTTTCTTCTGTGGAGCAGCTAGTGGGTTTGAACTGCTGACTTAGTGGTTACCAGCCAAATGCTTCACTACCATATCAGTGGAGTGCCTTTGTTGCCAGTGTTAAGTGTCATCAAGTTGGTTTCAACGTATAGCACCCTGTGTCCAACAGAACGAAACGCTGCCTGGTCCTGTGCCATCCTCATGATATAGGGACTTAGTAAGACGATGTAACTTTCCCTTCTCTCTCAACAACCTTCTTTGCTTCAGAAGTCAACTCTCAACATGCTATAGTAGTTTCTAGATCATAAGTATTGTGAGGATTAAGTAAGGTGATGTATATTAAAGCATTTAGGAGAGTGCCGGACTAGCTTATTAAAAATATAGCTATCATAATTACTGGGATAAAGATAAATCAGTAGTATTGTATTTAAAACCTAATTCTGGATAAAACTAGTCTGTTGTTAACACTATAGTTTATATGCTGCTGATGTTGCTGAGGATCTGGGACTTAGAATTGAAAAGGCAGAAATAATTTCTAGCAGAGTGAGGGAGAAAAAAGAAACAGTGTCTGTTTCAATGCGCACAATTGAACAGTGTCTGTTTCATCCAGCACATAGCTGGATACTGTGCCTTCTGTGGGAATATGTATAACAGCCAATACGTATATATTAGGCTCATATCTGTGCCCCAAATAAAGATGATTATAAGGTTCCTTATCCTTCAAGGAGTTCTTAAATTGATGAAAGAGACAGGCCTGCAACAAGGAAATGATATAATGGAGCAGATTAAAATCGTTCCTCATGGAGTTTAACTCAGACTCTAGGGGTTAAAGGAAGACTGTACAGAAGGTGTGAGATAAACTGTCCATGGAAACAATATGTGAAATCAAATTTGGAGCTAACACATGCTTGGCTTTTACGAAGCTGAATTTTTGATGGGTATCGATTGATAAGATGGACTGACTCCGTGGCTACAGCAATGGTCTCCAACAGCATTTGTGAAGATGATGGCACAGGACTGGGCAGTTGTGGCAAACTAACAAATGCCATTCCCTCAGATTCTCCCCAAACAGCTTTGGTGCCTTAAAGTGAGCACATGGTTGATTTTATCTCCCTGTAGAGGCAGATATTCACTGATTATCTCTTCCCACCGCAGCACCCATCCCCCCTCATGTCTTCCCCCAGTGCAGGTATTAGGTTTCCTCACCTGTGAGCTTAGGGACTTTACTGTGATTACCACCCACCTTGTGATGTAGGTAACTACTGAATATGTATGTCTTATGGCTACCTACAAATAGCCCCAAAACAATAGACACTCTCCTCTGGTCCTCTCTCCTCCAGTTGCTCTCCCTGCTCCTCTGGTCCCCTCTCCTCCCGTCCTCCCCTACTCCCTCTCCCTCATTCTCCTCCTTCAGCACCTCCAGGTGGACCATCAAGAGAGGCTGAGGTTAGCATGCTACCATGAAACGTGTCTGACTTTTTTTACTGTCCTATCTCTCTTATTCTCTATGACTTTACTGTAATTTTTAGATATTATAGTTGTACAATTGCACTTGCTGGACCCCTGATTATTTGTTAGGGGCTGGTTCCCCTCACAGGCAGTGTTTCATTCTGTTGTAATTTGGGTCCAGTTCGTAGTACGTAGCAATGACAACCACATTGTAGGAGCCATAGTGGTTAAGTGCTTAGCTACTAACAAAAAGGTCAGTGCTTTGAACCCACCAGCCATGCTTTGGGAGAACGATGAGGCTGTCTCTAAAGATTTACAACCTTGGGAACCCTGTGGATCAGTTCTAATCCGTCTTGTGGGATCACTATGGGTTGGAATTGACTTGACAGCAACTTACTTTTTAAAACTTGATTGTATTAAACATTAAACCATGTCTTCTGTATATTTGGTTAAGAGTCTCATTGAACTCTGACATAAACTGATAGCTTAAGATTTCCCTTGAGTTGGTGCTGCCTTACAAAGAGCTAATGTAATGTTATTTGGCTTGATTTTTACGACAAGAGAGAGGTAGTGGGTTTCAGGTGAATAAGCCTGACTGAACTAGTTCTTTGATCCATTTCTGCTTGTGTTTTCACTAGCTGTCTATCCACGGGCAACAAGTCACTTTATCTCCTATGAAATCTAAAGGTTTATTATGAGAGCCATCTGAAAACAGTATTTTGGGAAGTTCTTAGAACACTGTACTTATGCAAGGGCTTGTTCTCTGATATGATTGTGGGTCTCAGACCACGTTGTTGGTATTTGTCAGGAGCACAGGATTTGAGGAAGTAAAAGGCTCTAGACCCAGGCCTGCTTTTTCACTGGAAAGCAGTGGGGAAATGGAAGACCACAGGCTCTGGAGATCAGATATCTGAGTGGCACCCCCCCTTAGCTTCTCATTAGCTTTGCAGTCCTCGTCTTGTAGTCCTTCCCTTTAATTGCTCGGTAGAAAATGGATGCTCATAAAGTCAGTAATTCCAACCCAGCAGGATTGTGGGGAGCTGATGTGAGAATGTATCCAGCTTCCCTGCCACCCATGTAACCGTGTTTCCTGTTTGAGATCTCTGACTTACCTTTTAGATGATGAGCTGGTTGTAAACCCCAAAGTGTTTCCTCACATCAAGCTGGGAGACATCGTGGAGATTGCTCACCCCAACGATGAGTACAGGTGAGTGCCTTACTAGGAGCAAGGGAAGTATGTAGCACACTGCTTCCAATGTATTTACCTAGGGGGCTTGAAGGGCAGGATAATTTCTTGCCTTTGGAAAAGCACGCCTATAGATGCTTTCCAATAGTCCCCATCTCATGCTTGAACCCATGATAGGTTGCAGTTTAGACTTTGTGATACAAGTTTTATTGACATATAATTCACCATAGGGTTTATATTAAGAGCTGGAAGTAGATTTTAAAGCCTTCTTACTAATCTGAGTCAGGAAACTGCTGAAATGTATCCAGTGTCATAGAACCTGGAAGCCTCCACTGACTGACAAGTGGTAACGGGGCAAGAGGTGCATTGGGTAGGAGCTGAGTCTGGGTTTCCCACTTGGAAAACAAAAATTCTATTCTGGACTCACCATTGCCCCATTCATGCCTTCAAGGATTTGGTAAAGCGATACATTTAAAATGGGCAAGTCTTTCTATTTTTAAAACATGACTCTGAAACTGTTCCGCAGCATCTCTCCCTTTCCTTCAGTGCCAGCATAGGGTTCATCTCCGAGGCATTGTTCTTGTGTGGTTGCAAGTTGCAACCTGTCAGGAAGGAGCTGTTGGTTGGTCTGCTCCTGACAACATGCCCTTCTTTGTTGCTTTCTTTTCCAGCCCTCTGCTACTGCAGGTCAAGTCACTTAAGGAAGATTTACAAAAAGGTAAGGTTCTCGTCTTTTTTTTTTTTTTTATCACTTTATTGGGGCTCATACAAGTCATCACAATACATAGATCAATTGTGTAAAGCACACTTATACACTGTTGCCCTCATCATTCTCAAAATTCACTTTCCTCTTGGGTTCCTGGAATTAGCTCATTTTCCTTTTCCCCCCCCCCCCCCCATGAACCCTTAATAATTTATAAGTTATGATTATATCTTATCTTACACTGCCCGGTGTCTCCCTTCACCCACCCTTCTGTTGCCCATCTCCCAGAGGGGTCTCGTCTTTCCTTGGAGATTTTTATTCTTCATTTCCCCAGACATTGCAAGAAACCTGTCTGTAGTCTCGGCATTCCTCTGTTCAGTCTTTTCCCTCTTTAAAAAGTGCCACGTGTCTGTCAGCCTCTTGAGGACTCTGAAGAAAGAATCTCTACTTAGAGTGCTTAGAAAATTATTTGAATATAGGAAGCCTCATGACCAAGTGCAGCAAATCAACAAACAAACAAACAGAAAAACTATCGACAAAGCAGGCTTTCCAAAATATTATCATTTTCATGAAATATTTATTGTCTAATTTGGGTGGGATGGGTGCAGTGGAGGGGGGCTAGGGGAAGAAGATTCAGACAGAAACATATGAGAGTAAGTAAAGAAGTATTGCTACTGGGGTCCCAACTAACCCATGCACTAGTTTATTTTTAAAAAAATGTCTTTAAACATGTAGGTGGCTACAAAACTTTTTATAATGGCTAAGAAGACCTTAAAGATGAATCAAGAGATAATTGTCAGCCTCAGTGAATGAAGACATTGGGGCTGAAGTCCAAAAACCAGTTGAGGAAGACCATAGACTTATTTTGATGCAGTAGCTACTGAATTTGGGAATTCACGTGGTTTAGCATGTTCAATTTTAAGTGAATATCTTGATCTGAGCAAATTTTCGGCTTAATGACTGTCATAAGTGTTGCTCAGAGATCAGCTAACCTAATAAACTTATCTTTCCATCAGTATTTGAAGCACGATCAAAACTAAGGAAGATTTGTGGGGCAAATTGTCAGGGTGAATCTTGGATTTATCATTGTGCCCCAGAGAGCAAGACCCAATCATGTCAGTGACTTCTGAGGGACCTGCTGGGCCAGTTGGGTTAAAGGCAGAGAGGTCAGCCCAGAAAGTTGTGCCGCCTGTCTTTTGGCAGGACAAAGATGCAATCTTGATAGCTTTTTTGTTTTGAAGGACCCAGGAGGATCACGGGGATTCATTCCCAGGAAGTGTTAAGGAAATTGAAAACTGCATTGGTGAGAGAGAAAAGTGGTACTGGGGAATTTTCCCCACCATCACAGCCATGTAACTTCTCATCTCTGAAGGTAGCAAGAGCTGCCCTATGAGAAGTTTGTTGAGAAACCTGACTCCATCCACCGTGCAGCACTGAATCAGCCCTGTCAGACTTCTTGTTGTTCCTCAAGCTCAAAGAACATTTCACAGGTGCAGGCTACAGTCCCTGAAGATGTCGACATGGCTGTTTTGATCGGGTACAAAAGGAAGAGGCCGGTTCTGGACTGCCTGCTTTCAAGAAGTGAACAGATCTAGTTGGAGGATGTCTTAGGGAACGATCGCCTCAGCTTTTGATATGTTTGTTTAATCAAAGTTTGTCTGATTTTGCTGCATTCCCTTTGGGCTCACGTTCACATCCTGATGATTACCTACCCAGTGGGTGAGGCCCTTTCTGTCTCCAATAACTGTTAAACAAGGAAACTGTCTGTTTGCCCTAAGTCAGTGGAGGAGCCAGGGTGGCAAGTCTGCTTGAACATTCGGGAACCAGATTATTTTTCCCTCTGATGACTATAGCATGCTGATAAGGAACTAAAAATTTAGTTGATAATAAGTAAATCCTCAAATAGTAATGAAGAGGGGGGAAGCCCCTAAAATTTTGACTTAAATTGTGGGCCCTTGATGTCTACTTTGATCTTACATTTTGATGAGAAAACATTCTAGAAACCCAAATCCTAACAGTTAAGATTGCTGTAATGCAGCGGTTTTCAACCTGTGGGTTGCGATCCCTTTGGGGGTCAAATGACCCTTTCACAGGGGTTGCCTAAGACCATTGGAAAATGTATTTTCAATGGTCTTAGGAACTGAGACACGGCTCCTCTATCGGTCTCCTGACGGGTCCGCCCACATGCAGATACGCCCAGATATGAGTACCTGGCGTGAAGACTGTTATCCATGCTACACGACAAAATTTCATGTATTTGTCATTAGAAATAAATATTTCTCAATATATAATTACATGTTGTTTTTGTGATTAGTTACTATGCTTTAATTATGTTCAATTTGTAACAATGAAAATACATCCTGCATATCACATATGTACATGACCATTCATAACAGTACCAAAATTATAGTTATGAAGTAGCAAAGAAAATAATTTTATGGTTGGGAGTCATCACAGCATGAGGAACTGTATTAAAGGGTCGAGGCATTAAGAAGGTTGAGAACCACTGCTATAATGCAAATCTTTTACGTTTCCGTTTTATCTTCACCTCATCTCCTGTTTTGTATTTTTTTACTTTGACTCCAAAATTATTATAACTCAGTTCCGGAGCAGGCCAGTGTCCAAGCCCAAGCTCCTGACCTCCCTGCTTAGGAGCTCTTCTTCTTCCTCTGGGCCCCGCAGACTTCCTTGGTCAGGTCTTTCAGATACTGGATCTCCTTAGCCAGGCTATTGCCCCTCTCCTTCAGAGCCTCGTTCTTTTCTCCAGTTCCCTGCACGCACCGACTATGGCTTCCTGTTCTACCCGCTTCTCCCGGTGGTACTTGGCGGGTGCAGTCTTGTGCTGCTCCATCTTTTTCAGCTTCTTTTTTTTTTTTTTTCCTTTTTCAGCTTCTTACCCGGTTTCTCTCCTTTAACCTTTGCTGCTGCTACCTTCTCTCCAGAGGGGAATTCCAAGGCTTGGGACTAGCAGAGCCACCGAGGGCGGGTGGAGGCAGCAGGCTGCTACGTAGGAAATCCCCAGAGTTGCTGGGGCTGTACTGAGGAGACCCCAGGTAGGGCTCCGGGCTCATGCAGATGTCACTGTCATTACTGAGGGGGCATCCTCCTCCTTGACCACTGTGCTGTAAGGCCTTTCTGTGCCCCTCGGAGATGTCCACTTCACTGCCGAGCTCTAGACTAAACAGTGGCCTGGACTGGAAGCCCGGGCCCCTGGGGACTCGGGAAGAGACCAGAGGAGGATGTGGGGCAACGTGGGGCAAACTTTCTTGGAGGTGGCCAACTGGGTTCGCTGCTTGGGGGGCTCTTCATCATTAGTCTCCTGGGCTAATGGGGGTCAAGGAGATCACAGGCATCGTCCAGCGTGGTCAGAAGTTCATCCGGCATGGCTTCCAGGTCACCCCGATTCAACAGGGCATCGAAGTCAAACTCTTTCAGGTCCATCTTCTCCACCCTTCATTCTGTCTCGGAGAAGGCACCTTCTGTGAGGAGACAAGAGATTGGCTGCTGAGTTCCCCGGAAATGCCACCAGGAGGGAGCCCAGACCACTGAGCAGGTGAAGGATGGCTACTCACCCTGGCCGAAGTCTGAGGCATCCACCCAGCCATCTACTGGCAGCCATTCGGAGGAGCCTGCCTTAGCTTTTGTCCCTGGTGACACGCCCATGTGGGCTGAAGTGCTGGGCCACCTCGAGGTCGTCATCCAGGAGGACCTAGGTTTTCTTCAGCTCTCAGACCCGACTGGTTGAAGGGGGACATCAAGTCCCTCTGCCAGCACCTCGCTGGGAAGGAGGCTCATCTGAGCCGTGTCATGGGGCTAGGCTGGAATCTATGATTGTGTGAGATTCAAAGGTATCTTTTCCTGTTACAGTGATGCTACTACTGCTGGTGCCTTAAGAAGCACCATGACTTAAGCTGCTATGGGTTGCCGCTGTAGAGCCTGGTGCTGCTGCCGCCACCGCCACTGCCAGGGCCTACGCTGCACTCCCTCACCCTGTGGGAGGGAGCAGGAGAGCTGAGAGTTCGTTCTGCATCAAAGAGCCGGCCTCCTGCCCTGTTTTATGTTGTTTGCTGCTTAACAGACTTAAGGACTTATTAAAAACGTTGTTTCTTCCCTGACTACCCATGCTCCCATCATTCCAAACAAGGACTCTCTTTCCTCTTTCAAATGTTCACAGCTCTTTGAGCACTCTAATGTTGCTTTAAACCTTTTTTTCCCTTTTCTCTTCTGTAATTGATTAGGCTCAGGTGTCTCTTTATTTGCTTCTTTCACCTGAAAAGTACTGAACTAGCTGAACTGTACGATCGGTTTGCAAAGTGTGTCTTGCCTGTGGCATATGTCAAACCGTGTTGCCTGTGGAATGCTCTGAGTATTTAGATTAGAATGCACGTACTTGCTTTCTCAGAATGTGCTGCCTGATCAGAATGTCTTCTCTTTCAGAAACTGTCAGTGTGGACCAGACAGTGACTCAAGTGTTCCGGTTAAGACCTTACCAAGATGTCTATGTGAATGTTCTAGACCCGAAGGTGTGCCTTTGTCCTAGACTTGTTTATTTTGGGGTACCTGATTTATATTTGATCAGGACCTTTCTTAAGATTAGATCAGTAAGGAAATAATGAATTGCTACTTAAGTATATAGTGTTAGTACCTTTTGCCATTCTGTTGATGGCAAATCATGGTGACCCCATTTATGACAGTGTAATGGTACTATGGGGGTTTCTTGACTAATTTTCATGCCTGTAGATTGCCAGGCCTCTCTTTCATAGAATCACTGCATGGGTTGAAGCAGCTGGCCTTTAGGTTAGTAGCACAAACTATTGCTCTCCAGGAGTCTTAAGTATCGTGTTAAGATGATAGACATAAAGATGCTTCCAAGGTCATTGCAGAAGAGAGATGAGGCTTTCTGGTCCTGCAAAGATCCACAGTTTTGCAAACCCTAGTTGGCAGTTTCCACTCTAATTTATCCTGTAATTGTAGCTATGTGTCAGAATTGACTAGATGACTCAAACCCAAATCAGATTCACTGCCATGAAGTCAATGGTTACTCGTAGAGACTGTTTCTGAGACTGTAAATCTTCACTGACGGTGAAAGCCTTGTCTTTCTCCTGCAGAGTAGCTTCTTGTTTTGAACTGTTAGCCTCACAGTTCGCAGCCCAAAGCGTAACCTACAGGCACCGCTGCTCCGTGACTAGATGACAGTGAGGGTTATTTTGTTTATAGGTAGTACGTACGCTGCATTGGAATCTCCTTCTTTGTTTTAGAGTTCATCCTAATACATGTTTATGAAACTGTCAACATTTCTGTTAAAACCTAGACACCAAACCTGTCGCTGTAGAGTTGCTTCCAACTCCTAGTGACCTTGCAGGACAGAGTAGAACTGCCCTAATAGGGTTTTCAAGGTTGTTTTCTTTGTAAAAGCAGGCTGCTGCATTCCTGGGTTCAAACAACTGACCTTTTATTGGCTGCCAAGTGCTGAATTGTGGTGCCATCAGGGCTTCTTAAATTTTCCATTGGGATCCTAGTCATTAAAAAAGACATTTTCATTGATCTTCTAGAAACAATGCTGTAATCGCTAAAATCATACCCAGAGGGAATTATCGAGGTGATACCACAAATCTCAGTGTTGTTTTTCTTTGTCATATTCAAGTCTGTAATAGAGGATTAGTACTAATACTTTTTGTTTGTTTTTTTAAGTTCTATAATACTCTTGGCTCCAAACTGTGGTCGTAGTACTGTAGCAGCTGTCATAAGTCATAGATTTACTCATCTCTGCTAGATTGTCCCCGGTGGACGCAGTTCCACTCACAGTTACAAGTTGCGCTGCAGTCTGCAAGGTTGGCAGTCGGAGACCACCTGCAGCTCCTTGGGAGAAAGACTGGGCTTTCAACTCCTGTAAACAGTTATAGTTTTGGAAACCCACAGGGGCGTAGCTACGAGTCACCATTGACTCGAAGGCAAAATAATGGAGAGTGTGTTTGATGATCTCTTTCAGGATGTGACCCTTGACCTAGTGGAATTGACCTTTAAGGATCAGTATATAGGCCGTGGGGATATGTGGCGCCTAAAGAAAAGTTTGGTAAGATGATTCTTCAAACATCTACTTTTTCCCCGGTGTGCTTACTGTAAAGATTGACAAGGCCTAGTAGGAAGCGTATACATCAAGCATCTACAGGTAATTATTGTAAATGGTTTTGTTATGTGCATTTTTTTCCATTCTCATTTACTTTTGTGGTTTTTTTGAACTTTGTTATAGAGCTTTAGTTTGGGGTTGGAGAGGATAATCCTTTCCATTTGAACGGCACTTTATTGTTTCCATAGATACAGACCTCATTTACTCCTCCTACCCCCTTTTTGTGGACAGGTAATATTAAGTCAAATTCACAGATGCCCAAACTGAGATTGAGGAAGTTAAATGACTGCCGGAGGCTGCCCAGCTGGCAAGCAGCTGGCCCTGGGCTGTGAACGCAGCGCGCTGTGTGCCTGGCTCTGAGGTTGCACTGCCTCTCACTGTAGCCTTCTGCCCGTTTCCTTATATTCACACAAGATCATCTGGTCATCATTCAGCCACTGCTAAGAATTCTTCTTATTTACAGTATTGTGAAGCAATAACACCTTATAAGTAGAATCTCCATGCAGTGTATGTTTGTTTTAATTGGTGGGAAGGGTTCACTATTCTAAAATGAGAAAGAAAATGTACTATATGCAAATGATTGTAGATAATATATTTGTGATGCTGCCCACATATCATCCTCCTGGTAGTCAGTGTTGTTTATACTTGCCAAACCTGAAGACCTTATTATTACCACCTGCCCCAACAAGTTTTCCATTGAGGTCAATCTGTTACTCCAGTGTTAATTGAGCTCTCTGGGTTGTTAAAGGAGACCAGAAAGCACGGAGATCTTGTGTGTGACTTTTCATGGCTTTGATGTGTGGGGAATCTCAGTCTCTTTCTTCCCTTAGGTCAGCACATGCGCTTATATCACCCAGAAGGTGGAATTTGCTGGTATCAGGTAGGTATTACATTACTCCTATCAGAAGGAGCCCTTGTGGTCTAGTTGGTTACCAGTTGGGCTACTGACACAAGGTTAGCAGTTCAAATCCACCAGCTACTTCACAGAAGAAAGATGAGGCCTTCTATTCCCATAAGGAGGTACAGTCTCAGACACCAAGTGTCGTGATTCTACTCTGTCATTGTGAGTTGGGATCCATTTGGTGGCTGCAAGTTTGGTTTGGTTGACTTAGTGCTAGTAAACAAGCCTAGAATTTAGTGCTGTAACTGGGCTACTCTCATATTTCAAGAGGTAACACATAAAAATGATCATGTAATAAAATATTAGCTTAAAAAGTTAGATTATTGTAGCTAAAGCTAACCAAATTTGAGTTATTTTTAAGATTTATGGAAGAGGTTGCTGAAGCCACTTGGTATTCTGTAACAAAGAAGGTGGTGTAAAGCCATAGACAGGAAAATGTAAATGAAGATATTTAATTAAACCTTATTGGATTTCAGATTAGGTGAAAGATTTGGAGACATAAAATTACTAGAACAGTATGTAATTTGCTGCTTTGAAACTGTTGCAAGTTGATGGTCTGAAATATAACTCACTCCCAATCTAATTCACAATAAATTCATTAAATTAAAATAAAAACTTGTGTAGATTTCAGTTTGTGAAGAAAAGTGAAAAGGGGACTTTTGGAAAGCCCTTTTAACTAAAAAGGTATATAGTGAAGCATTCAAACAGTATAAAATGGTAAACAATGAAATATAAATTCCTTTCTTCAGAAGCAGCTTTTTCTGAAATTGCCTATATATGTACAAACACATTTATGTCTACCTGACTCACAGTGATGCTGAGATTGATTAGTGGAATTGGGTACCTTTCACTTAATTGTTTCAACTATTGATGATTGCTGCAAGATGGTGATTGTCTAGTTGAACCATCCCTTCTACATCTTTGATCTTAGTACATTCTAGGAAAGAAGAACATTTCATCAAGAATAATTATTTGATTAATTTAAAATGATGATCCAAAAAGAAAGCACTGGTGAAGCATACAACTTTCCTCCAGTTCTTTAATGCTCCCCCCCCCCCACTATCATGACCCCAATTCTACCTTACAAATCTGGCTAGAGCAGAGCATGTACACTGGTACAGATAGGAACTGGAAACACAGGGAATGCAGGACAGATAAATCCCTCAGGACCAATTATGAGAGTAACCATACCAGTAGGGCAAGGAGAAGGTGCCGGGAGAAAGGGGGAACTGATCACAATGATTGACATATAACCTCCTCCCAGGGGGACGGACAACAGTAAAGTGGGTGAAGGGAGACAGCGGTTGGTGTAAGACATGGAAAAAAATGATAAATTATCACCAGGGTTCATGAGGGAGGGAGGGGGGAAATGAGCTGATACCAAGGGCTCAAGTAGAAAAAAATGTTTTGCGATTGATGATGGCAACAAATGTACAAATGTGCTTGACACAATGGATGGATGTATGGATTGTGATAAGAGCTGTATGAACCGCCAATAAAATAAAATTAAAAAAAGGATTAATTCTATCTAAAAATTAATGTTTTCTGAACTATTAATCCAACCAAACTCACTGTTAACAAGTTGATGTCGACTCACGGCAAGCCTACTGGACAGGGTGAAACTCTCCCCTGTGGGTTTCCAAGACTATAATTTTCCAAACATAGTCCGTGCAGTGAGAAAGCTTTGTTAGAATAAGAAATGCACCTAGGTTTATGATGTCCAATACCAAACTTGTGTCCCTGTTTGGGAAGTGAGCCCGGAGGCAGGAACCCTGTATTCCAGTTTGGTGGTGTGTGTGATTAGCCAGGTTTTTGAGTCCTTTTGTCCTCGTGCAAAATGCAGTGGTCGGTTTAGAATCTCTCTCTGGATATTCTACATTGTGGTCCACAAAGACCTTTCATGAATATTCTTGTTGCTTTTTTTTCCTTTTCTTTTTCTTCTGTGAAAGCCATCTTTAGCTGTTTGCAGTACAAAACCAGAAAGTGGGCTGGATTTAGCCTGTGTACTGTAGTTTTTGAGAAACCCTCTCAGTTCCCGTTCAATCTTAAATTCTGATTCTCTAATAATAGTTCACGCTTATGTATGTAAATGTCATTAGACACATCATACTGGATGCACAAATGCATTTAGTTTTAGTTTTAGAACCTTATTTCAAACGTCAATTTTAAAGATAGCGTTTAATATTTGCTCATTTGTAGGTAAATGTATATCTTCTACCTTTTTCCCAGAAGACTTGGGTCAAAGGTCACTTTCTTTTGCTAACTGAAGACATGCAAATGAAAAAGAAAAAAAAAGATAATCTGCCTCATACTAGGAAATGAAAGTATAATTATTTATGTGAATAGTTACACATACCCATTGCCATTGAGACAAACTTGCATCATAGTGCTCCTATACGACAGAGCAGAACATTTATGGTGGCCTAGCTTCAAATACCAGCATGGTTATGGCTTTAGCAGGGCTTCAAAATAAGGACTAGCTAAGGACTAATTAAGAGAGACGACTACCATGAAGGACTTCTAAAAATAATTGGTCAGTGAAAACCTTTTGAATAGTGCAAACATTGTCTGATCTAGTGTCAGGAGATAAGCCCCTCATGTTAGAAGGCACTCAAAATACCACTGGGGGAAGAGCTGCCTCCTCAAAGGACAGTTAACTTCAATGACATGGCGAGAGGAAAACGTTGGGAACCTTCGTGTACTGTTGGGGCATGACTCAAAATGTGAAGAAACAGTTGCAAACGTCAGTTAATGATTTAAACATAGAGTGTATGATGTATGACTCTTGAAAATTTGGAAGTCGTGAAAAATGAAATGGGACACTTGAAGATCATTAGCTCCTTTATCTGTCTCTAGGCGAGTCTGCCCAAGTGAAGATATGCCCACACACAGGGTCACCACAACATGAGGAACTGTATTGAAGGATAGCGGCATTAGGAAGGTTGAGAGCCACTGCTTCAAACAAATCGATGCAAATGCTGGGGGTTGGAGTGGAGACCCAAAGCCCATCTGCAGATAATAGGACATTCATAAGGAAAGGTCATAGGAAAGAATGAGACAGACAGGGTGCAGCACGGCACTGATGGAACACACAACGTTCCTCTAGTTCTTTTTTTTATTTTAAATAACCGTTTTATTGGTTTTGTCAGGTATTTAATATTTTTTCATTAATATCTTGAAACCCATAGCATAATCTAGTTTGTGTACCCCCTTTATTGTTCTTATTTAAGTATTAACTGTATGAAATAATGTAAAACCTTTCAGTATATCTTTTTTCCCCTTTTTTTTAATCGTTTTATTAGGCGCTCATACAACTTTTATCACAATCCATACACACATCAATTGTGTAAAGCACATTTGTACATTCATTGCCTTCCTCATTCTCAAAACATCGCTCTCCACTCAAGCCTCTGGCATCTGCTCCTCATTTTTCCCCTCCGTTCCTGCTCCCT